CCCCTGCCCCCCCCTGTGGCGGTACGGCGGCCCCCCCCGTGGTTCCGAGCCCCGTCGCGGGGGAGCCCGAGCTCGGCGGCGGGGGATGCGGTTGCCGAAGTTTGTTAGTTCCCCGGGCAGCGGGAGCGGTTTTTTTCCCCCCCCTTTGAGGGTCGGGGGGGGAGCGGGGAACCGCCGGGGTGGCTCGGAGGGGGTCAGGGCAGCGCTTGTACTTGCAGCCGAGAAGAGAGCGGTGCTCCGGAGGGTCCCGACCGGGGACGGTTTGCTCTGCTCGGGGCGAGGCGGTGGCGGACTCCGGCTTTGGTCCCGCCGATGCTCCTTTGCGATCCGGCGGTGGTTTTGCCGGGGGAAGAGAAAAAACAACCCCAAACCCCCCCCCGCGCATCAGGAAGCGGAGCGCGGGTGGCTGCAGGTAGGGCTGCTGAGCCGGGCGGGCTGCACCGCTTCAGGCCTCCCGCGGCCGCGGTCGTGCGTGGATGTGGCGTGAGTGGGTTTGCCGTGCTTTTCATCGTTACAGAGGCGTCTGCCGCGGCCAGGTTCCTTCTAAAGACTGTTGAACGGGAGAGGAGTTTGGGAAGCGTGATGTGACCGTGGACTTCCAGAAACCCTGAAGACTTGTGAGGACAGGTCAGTGAATCCTTAGGATCAAGGGAAGCCAGCACTTGACAAAGGGAAGTTTTCATTGCACCTAATTGTAGCTTCTGCCTAGATTTGCTGCCGGGTTAACCTGTCTCCCCCCCTCAGCCGTAGCAGGAGCTTGAGGAGGCTGTCTTCTTAAAAGTGGTACCTAAATGTCATGATGTGGATATTCCATTGCTTACTGAGTCTGGCATCGCTAGAGACTTTGGTGGTAAAATGCCTTAGTTTTTTTATGGTAAACATTAACTAAAAAACTAATTCATCTTCCTGCGGATGACAGCTTTGGGAGGAAGAGAAAAGCACTAGAATAAACTAATACTTTTACACTGGTGATGACCAGACTTGGCAAGACACTTGCTTTTCATGCTTATGTTTAAAAAAAAAAAAAAATTGGAAGGGAAACGTATCAGGAACAGCTTTCCCGGTTCTCATCTAGATCTGTCAGACTCACAAGCAGTACAGAGAAAGTGGCCAGGCTCAAACCATTTCTCATTCTGGCACTGTTCTAGTTCTAGATGTGGGTTCAAGGGAGCAGCGTTTGTATGTGTAACATGAGAATAACTAGAAATTTATAAAAATAGAACATGAGTAAGAACTTCAAAAGTACCCAAATGACCTGGGCATTGAAGTCACGCAGGCACTCCTGAAAAACGTGTACCAGCCTTTAAACATCTCCTATTATTCACCCTACCTGCAATTTTCTTTCTTTCTTTTTTTTTAAAATGTGTGCTGCTACCTGGACTTTCTTGCATCATCTGTAGCTACTACCCTTCCACTCGGTGGGGAGTGGCTGTGGTGGCAGAGCCAGGAATGCCAGATTCCCAGCCCTGTGCTTGGATTCCAGGTAGTGCCTTAAACTCTGGAACTTACTACCACAAAACATCATGGAAGCCAAGAGTGCTTGGCTTATGGGATTTGAAAAAAGGATTAGAAATTTGATATGGATAACAAGAATCTCCAGAATTAATAGCAAATTAAATGAGAGCTTTACAAGGGATATAAATCCCTGTATTTCAGGGCATAAACCAATCTTAGGATTTAGTAGGAAACTTCTCCTTGTAGGGAGATTTTCCTTGCACTGTCTGCTTGTGGGTGTATTCCCCTACAGCTTGTTATGTACGTAGCCTGTGCAGTGTCATCTGTGAGTTTCTTGTTTTCTTGAAGGGCTTCCAGTTAAAGCACCTGAACCTCAAGGTGTTCCCCAACATTGAGCTGTTGCTGGAAGGCCCAAGCCACATGGCTTTGTGTAGAAGCTGCCTAGAGATAATGGTAACGTTATCTGTGAACAAAGCAGTAGTCTTACAGACTCTAAGATTACCAACACTGTAATATAACAGAGTAACAGTAGGTACTGCGATGTACTCTGGACAAACTCCACTGGCAACATCTTTTTGAAGGTACACAGTCAGTTTTTGTCGGCAGTGAGAAATGCTATATCCATAGTGCGAGAAGATGGAATCATTGGCTTTGGTCTGCTTTATTTTTGCCAGAGTCCCTAGAAAACATGGATGTCTAGCATAAACTCTTGCTAACCTTTTCCTCAAACTGTTTATTTTGCTGGAGCACTCCAGTGGCAGTTTGGGGGAGGATGTTGGTTTTGGTTTTTTCCCCCTGAGTTATACATCTCCGCTCTCTGACTAAAGCCTCTGTATGGAGTTTAGGGTGACGGCTGGACTGTTGTGGCTGATGGCGTTGTGAGTGTGTGCTCTTAAAAATAACAAAAAATAACCTTAGCTGCTCAGTTTTGTAATGAAGCTGCTAGTAGAAGCTTTGTTCAGAGCATGCACCAAAAAAGCTGGTTCTAAAAGCATCAAATGCATTGTATGATGAAGTGACAGGGCAAAAACTGCTCTTCAGACGTAACTGCGTGGGTCTCCTTGCGTGTCTTTTTGCAAAGCCTCTTTAGAAACATTAGCCTGTCTGCAGAGTGCCTGCATCGCTCTAAAAATCTTAACCCAGAGCCTTTTGTGTGGGATCCCCAAGAAGCTCTGAGGGTTTGCAAATTACTTCCAAGGAATGTACAAACGCAAAGGAAGACAAATATTGATGCTCTGTAAAGGTAGTCTTTATACATGGTATTTCTAATCTACTATCTTATATTAGTCTCAGTCTCTGGCTTCCACAGTTTTACACTGACAGGAGACAGCGTGAAAAGTTATGCCTGTGGCAGTTTCCTGGCTGCTCCCTTTCTAAGGGAGGGAACTTCAGAATACTGCTGGGTTTGTGTATTCTTCCCTAGACATGACTAGCGGTTGGTTTGATTCAGGCTGCCTCTTAGTCTGTCAGGTCTGGTACCAGGCTAGACCAGTGCTAGGAGCTTGCTTAAATGACAAGAAAAAACACATAGCGGACATTGCAGAGTAATTTGCTGATGGTCTCTCTTTTTCTCAACAGCTACATATTCTCAGGCAATTTAAGCATATTTCATACACAGCGGTAGATACAGTATTAATGCACTCCTCTGACTTTAGTCTCTTCAGAGGCTTATACCACTTTTGTCACAGTGGGATTGTAGAGCTTTTCAGATGAGCTGTAAGCGGTGTGAGTAACATCTGTTTGTGTTTACCCTCCACCTTTCTCTGTGTTGGAGCAGTTCATCCAAGGAGTGTCTTGTTTTGGTAGTTGACTGTTTTGGGGTTTCTTTAATGTGTGTGTTGCTATCTCCTTATCTTGGCTAAGGCAACATCAAGGAAAACACTTGACCCATTGGGTGAAAGTTGTGCAGGTTTGAGATGGATTCAAGGCTACAAGGGAGCAGAAGCAGAAGGACCAGAGGGATGGGAGGAGAGCAGCTGCAGGTAGCGGTGGTAGGGGTGACCAGGCAATAATAGTTGAAAAGCCTTGTACCTCAAGAGAAGTAAGCGGCAGACGGTATGGAGAGGGATACGCAGAAACCAAAAAGAGTTATATCTGGCGAATCTCCTCCGTTCGCTTCTGCTGTTGCAAATAATTACATCGTATGATTGTGCCCTAGGGCTTCTGCAGGAGGTGGGGGGCAGTCAGCATAAGACAGCTACTTTTAACTAAAACTAACCCTAGACAGCCAACCTGTGGAGTCTTGTGATCCTTCAGCCGTGCAGTTAACCTCATGATCGAGGCTGTGCTAGGAGTGGAGCAAGGGAGTCATGAGAAGCTTGTGAGCAGCTGTCAACTGTTTTCAATGTTGACTTGATTTCTGAATGCTTTATATCAGACATCAAAACTATCCATGTGAGAACAGGAACCCTAGGGCTCAGCTAAGAAAGGGGTCAGAGACCCTCACGGAGGAATCCTTGCTTTTAAAAAACAGGGAAACTTTAAAGCAGTCTCTGCAAGGTAGTCAAGCAATGTATGTGCTCATGGAAGACTGCCCATAAGCATGGATCTGCATAACATAAAAGAAATCTTGCACTCACCACAAACAAAAGAACAGGAAGATGGTAAACCAAAGGATTATTTTTGCAGTTCTGTGTCCTGATGCTTGTGTTGTCCAGTTATCTAAGACTGACAATACATTGAATCCATGTATCTATCCCTTGATACCTGTTCTATTTCTTGTGCTGCTGTTGCTCCTCACTGCTCTAAGAATCTGAGCCTGATCTTGTATTACAGAGCTGCAGAAGTTGCTAATGTGTCCGCCAAATAAGCTATCAAGTTGCTTGTTCAAAAAACATAACTAAGTGAAACTATAAAGTCACCATTTTATTATTATTATCTGTATGCATGCTGTTCCTTGGAGGTCCTCAAATTTGTGCCCTTGCTCCTTGTTTTCATATCCTAAAATGTCAGTTCCTCTTGCAGTTCAAAAATGTTTGTTTAACATTTTGCCAGCCTGCATAAGAGGAGAAACAGACCCCCGTGAATATTGTCTGGCAAAATAAGAAATGTAATGTCGGAATGTGGTCCGAATGGCTTCTTTGTCTCAGTGCTGGAGGGTGGCTGGAACACACACAGCAATAAGCAGGTGCTTGATTTGCAGCTCTGAACCGTTTTTCTTTCTCCATGTTAACTGTACATGTACTAAAAGAAGCTGCTGCTAGTCCAAATCTCAAGGACCTGGCCCTGTCTTATGTCCAGGGAAGCCTTGTTTGAGTAACACATGAAATCAGCTCTGTCGATTTCAAAAAGAACCAACTTCTGGTGATTTGCACATGAATTCTCATAATTGCCAGGTTTTGAATGCTCAGAAGGTGTAAGGATGGCCTCTGGCAAAATAATGAGGTTTATTTGGGAAAAGAAGCTTAAAACAATGATGGGCACTGGGTTTGGTTTGTGAGGTCTAAGGTTTTTCTCTTCAATCAAGGGAGCAGATTTTTTTCCACATTCATTTTGTTGGAAACTGAAGTTCTCCATGGTGGTTTGTCTCCAGGAGCTAGGACTTCAAGAAAAATGCAAATATAATGAGTGCAGTGACTCAAATCCATGCAAGTTGTCAGCACTCAAAAGGCATTAATGTTCTTGCAGAGCGGGCTAGAGCCAACTTCAGGAATAGTGTGTACATAGTTGTGGGTAACATCTAAATCTTGCTTTAGATTTATGGGTTAAGACTTTCAGTGAAATGGTGCATGCAATAAAATCCATGGATCACGCTTTCTTTACCAAACATTAGGAGTGATTCCTGCTGGGATCTGACCTGCTACATCAAAGAAACTGAGGTAGTGATCAAACCTCAAATCAAACGTTTATCTGCCACTTCCTCCCTATTGCCTGCTTCTAATTTATCAGCAATGGGCAGAACTGGCTGGCTCTTCAGTTACATTCAAAGTGGATGTAAGTGTAGTCACTCAGTTCTTTGTCCTTTCTGCACAGAGACCAAAACATTACTCTGGAACCTGTGCGTGAGTTCCCTGCTGGTGATTTTATGCTTTTGCTATCAGGAATGCTCTGTCTGGAAATGTTGGGCTGTACTCTGCCTCTGGAGAAGCATCTGCCACTGATCTGGGATGTCATGCTGCTCTCTTTCCCCTCTGCCCAGGGCTGTAGTGCCACTTCTGTTGTGATCTTCTGTT